CAACCCTTGCATTTCTCCTCCACCATGTAGCCTGGAATATGCGTGTGTGTATGCGTGTGTATATCATAAAAATGCAGCATAGTATCTCTCTGTAGTGGCCGACTGTGTAATGGGGGCAGTTTATGCTTTGTTTGTAACCTAGAAAACAACAGCATAGATCTACCATTAGTTTGAGACAGATTTTAACATTCAGCATTTTCAGACATCTTTTAACATTAAGAACTGCCCTGGAAAAGATTAATCAAATGCACTGCATTGTACATGAAACTGTACCTCACAGTATTGCTTTACTGGGCAGACATTATTGAAAGCAGTGCATTTTTGCCTTTAAAAATGGCCCTGAACAATAAATTCTGTAAAAATGGGTGTGAAGATGGCCTTGCTTTGACTCTTCAAGATTGTATTTTCAGGCTTCAAAAGATAATGTAATTAAACCCTACTGCTATTTTGTAAAAGTCTGAAATTCGTTTGTTCAGTACAATGTGCTTTACAAATTTTGCAAGATTGACAGCATACTGAATTTGTGGTTCATAGGCCAGGCTTAGCTGAACACTGAAAACAAAAGCTGAGCACCGGCAATAAAGGCCTTTGTACTTTTCCATAAATTGTCATTAATGAGACCCTCATTATTATGGTGGTCACTGATTGGGAGGCAACCAAAATGACTTTTTGTTTTAAACCATGTAAACCCTTCCATGTTTTCTTTTAAAAACCTAAAAAGTTTGCAGGACTAATTCTAAAGCAGCAGAAAATTATTCAGGCACAATCCAGCATCCACAATGATAGTCAACTGTGACAAAGTACACTGTTCCAGGAGAAAAAAATTCCATTCCTAGAAACCCCTCCACCCAAAAACCTACTTCTCTAGCAAGCAGCTTCACTTAATTAAAGAAAAAAAACCACCACTGGGCAACTAAAACAATATTTCCTGTTTGGGGACCCTCATTCTCAAATTACTAATCTTGTCTGTCACCCATTCCTTGAAGAAATATGCACAAACTGTTTATGCTCTTCTCCTCCTGCCTCAGATATATTTTATTCTTGTCACATACTCTGTATGCCTGGAACCATACATAAAAGATGCTGCTAGAAAAAGCACACTGGAAGATTATGTCACCCTGCAAATTCAGTCCAATACTTTTCTTTGGCAAGAATCACAATAGGCATGGAACTATTTTTTGTCTTACTGTCCTGAGGCAGCACAAACTTCAGTTCCAAAAAATAACCCTTCCAAAACATTTTTGGAGTACTTTTTGTATAAATAATTTGAATAAATGGGTTTGTACTAGGAATGGGCTTTTTACAGTTAAATGTTTCAGCACTATCAAAATATTGGTAACCTAACAGAACTGCATTATATAGGCATTTGAGACTGGACACCATCCAAAAAGTAAGCAAAACATTTGGCACAAGACCTGTGCTGAATGAGTATTACCAGCTAGTCTAGATTCCGTTAGTGGAAGCAAAAACTGGCACTGCCCCTATGTTTGAATAAGAGAGATAGATTTGAACATTGTAGCATCTAAGTAAAAGGTAGTTACATCAATCCAGGAAACAAAATTTGCACATGTAACCTGATACCTTATTCTATATGGGTTCCTGTGTGCCCTAAACTTTTGCACTAGGCAGTATTTGGTTGCAGGCCAAGACAGAGGATCTAGAGTTTGTTATCTGTGATAAGTCTTCGCTAGAAACTATTGAGCATTTCTTCTTTCTGTGTAATTTATTCAGATCAAAGAAGAAAATTTCTGGAGCCTCATCTGAATACAAATCCTGTTCGCTCTATCATTTAATGACTCTGTTAGCAGACCTGGATTTTAATATAACATTAAAGAGTTCCCTCACTCGAAAGCCAGTCGAATCCAACTCTAGGGGGTGGTGCTCATTTCCATTTCCAAGGTGAAGAGCCAGCGCTGTCCAAAGACTTTTCATGTGGCCGGCATGACTAAATGCCGAGGCACACGGAACGCTGTTACCTTCCCACCATAGCGGTACCTATTTATCGGCTTGCAATTTCTTGCTTTTGAACTGCTAGGTTGGCAGGAGCTGGGACCAGAGACGGGAACTCACTCCGTCATACAGCATTAGGGTCTAGAACTGCTGAGCTACTGACCTTACGGTTTGCAGCTCAGCATCTTAACTGCCGAACCACTGCAGCCCTAATATAACATTAGATGTGTGTAAATATACAGCTGCTGCAATTGAACACCATTTGTTTTTAATGAATATTGAACAGCAATAACTTTTTTTGTTATATTTCTGTCTTTTTCTGATTGAACGGCCTTTTGGCTTTAAGACCTAGATGGGAATCTTATTTGCCTTGCAGCTCTCTGGACCCGACTTGCAGTGGTTTCAATGGCCAGGTTGAGATGAGTTATGGTGAGCCAAAATACAAATGACAGAACCTACAGGTCCACCCTGTGGCTGGCCACAGATGCCATTTTAAAAACACTGGTCGTTATTTAAAAAATGCTGCAAGGCCCTGATCCAGACTGGATACCCTGTAGCTCCAGGAGCTCTTGTTTCCCCCTGCCTTTGGAGCTGCTTCCACACTTGGAAAGGCATAGGGGAGAGGGGAAAACTCCTGGGACCACTGTGCCATATACCCCCTCTGGACCAGGGCCTTGCCGCAATTTTTAAAGAACCACAAATGCTTTTAAAATGGTGTCAGCAGCCACAGGATGGATTTATGGCCTCTGTCATGTGAAGAAAGGAAAGGGAAACCTAGCATGTGCAAGGCCTCACAGGAAGTGAGTCATACCAGAAAGTAGTACTATCGTCAGGTTTGGTATTTTTGTCCCCAACTGTACTTTTTAAAATGCTTGCTGTGGAAATTTCCATATACACTCAGCAGTTTGGATTCATATATTTATATAATCTTTGGTACAAAAAGAAGAGTTGGTTTTATACCCCACCCTTCACTACCCAAAGGAGTCTCAGAGCGGCTTACAATCACCTTCCCTTCCTCTCCCCACAACAGACACCCTGTGAAGTAGGTGGGGCTGAGAGAGCTCTGAGTGAACTGTGATTGACACAAGGTCACCCAGCTGGCTATGTGGAAGAGTGGGGTATCAAGCCTGGTTCTCCAGATGAGAGTCCACTGCTCTTAACCACTACACCAAACTGGCTCTCAAAAGCTTGTTCTAATAATCCCTAATCAATCTTGAATTTATTCTGGGTACGCATGCATTGTTTTTTAGGAGAGGTCAAAGTATAAATGGGTAGAATGCTTCATTAAAGTACTAAGAAGTTCCGTAGAAGATATCTGTAGCTGGCTGGCCCTTTGGACAATTATCCAGCCAAAGGTATAGAGGTACTATGCAACTGTATCAGTAATGACAAGGCCTAGGTTACATGAGCAAGGAAAATTTAAAGGCTCCGAGTTTCACACATAACATGGTTGTTTTGAATTTCTGTGATTCACGTGGAAAGATATTTGCTCTCATAAATCTAGGTTACAAAAATAAAGTATTACAAAATTAAATCAGCATTAGTTCTCAGCCTGAAAAAATTGTGCGCTTACTGAACTTGCGCAGAAAGTCTTTGTATCCAGACCCCAAATGTTTGCATTTATGTACAGCAAAAAGCAAAATTTCTTCTAATGTAAGAGGAAACATGAGCCTTCTTATTTCTAGACTTGAAAATACCTTGTCCAAATCCTCAAAAGCAAACATACCACAAAAATAAATATACAATTCTGAGAATGCATTTTGGTCAATTGGCATGAAGTTTTGAAACAGTGTATCATGAGCCAACAAAGAAAACCTAAATATAGTTCAGATATAACAGTGGAAGTGATATAGACTTAATTTGAACAAAATTCAGAACGCTTTTATGCCTGTTTAAATATCAACAACCCTTAAAGTGGCAGAGCATTGGTAAGAGAACATAAATTATTGATATTTGCTCCTAGTAAATGAGCATTCATTATCAGTACAGAAGCTAGTCCCAGTACTAACAGATGGTACATGACACAGACCTTTGGGGCTGGCACCATTTTTATTAAAAGTCAATGGTCAAGACTTCAGTAATGTCTAAGGTTGCCAGACAAAGCCAGACAACCAGTGAGAGACTGGGCGGAGGGGCATGTCAGTGACAGTGTGATGTGACTTCCATTTCCCTTCCTGTGGAGGTGATGTTCTACCTCTCTAGAAAGTGTCACAGGAAAATTCTTATAGAGGACTGATATTGTTTCTGAAGGAAACCAAAAGTGACATCACACTGTCAGCTTAATGGCCTTTTTATTTCTCTCTCGCCACCACTTGAAGTGGCAGCAGGGAATGAGGGCTGAGGGGTTCTCCAAGCCCACGGGGGGGGGGGGGGGGTAGCATCCCTGGAAATGTAAATCATGTATTATTAATTTGTAATTACAACCTTTTTAGAGCAAATTTGCAAACTAGTGGCTTTTGCATTCCTTTCCACGCTTCTGGTAATCTCTAACCTTACATATTTTCCCCATGGTAAGATGCCAAAATTCTAGATATGCACTGAGTTCAGGCATCTCTACCTCCTAAAAAGGTAAAGCTTCCCTTGCTCAAAAGCCAGTCGAGTCTGACTCTAGGGTTGCGGTGCTCATCTCCGTTTCAAAGCCGAAGAGCCAGCGCTGTCCGAAGACATTTCCGTGGTCATGTGGCCGGCATGACTAAACACCAAGGCGCATGGAATGCTGTTACCTTCCCACTGAAGTGGTACCTATTTATCTACTTGCAATTTCTTGCTTTCGAACTGCTAGGTTGGCAGGAGACCTCCTACCCTATCATAAAAAGATATGGAAGATGCTTCTTGAGAGGCAGAACTATAGAAAGAGACACATATCATTGTAAAACCCATTTTAGGCCCTTCAGTTAATGTCTGAAATCATTCTATGACCAATTAGGTTTAATGCCAGATGCATCTATCTAGGAATCACATAACTATGGGCCCAAAGGTGCTTTAAACTTATTCTTCTTGAACAACAGCCTCTCATATGCAGTATAACAAACTGATTTTAAAGTGAAGCAAATTTCAAGCAATTTTTGATACGGTATCGGAGCAGGAAAAGGGTAAGAAAAACTAAAACTTGCAATGAGTGGGCAAGAGTTCCCTCCTGAACCCAAGGAGCTACTTAGATCTAATCAATTGCATAACGGATGTAGGGGTGGGAAGAATGCAGGTGGATATAGGTGTGATATTCCTGCAGTGTGCCAACAAGATCCAACATGAAATCAGTACTACTGACAGCACCAGTACTACTGACAGCAACAGACGCCCCTTATCATGTCCGGCAGCACTGATCTCATAGACAGCCGGGGGCCTACTGTTGTAGTTGAGAGGCAGAACAATAGTTGATCCCTTTTGTCAAAGCCTCTGTCTCTTTTATGTGGGTTCTGAGAAGCAAGTCTGGATTTGGTGTTGGGGCAGGTATGCAATACTCCTCTAGAAGTAATGGCCTAAAACTGTTCATTGTCTAAACTTCTGTGCTTAAGAAGCCAGATTTTCAGTATTATTCTATCAATGCTTCCTAAAGTGAATTATTCCATTATTACTCATCGTATGTAATTTACACTGCAAGTACTTGGGTTTATTAAAAGTTATACAAATAATTAAATGGGTTTCATTATTTGGCTTTTCACTGTGCAAAGGTAATGGAAGACAGGAAACACCCTATGATATACTACAAGCTCTGTAATGATGTCCAAACCCGCAAGACAACATTTCAAATGAAAAGAATGTATGTGTGATACCTAAGGCAATCCTGAATGTTTTAGCATTATCCACCACTCCCCTAAATAGCCAATAATTTTGGTCAGATAGATTTAGCAACTTCACTTTCAGATCTGGCAACCAAGTGTCCCAACAGTTTTCATATTCCAGATAACCAAAGAATGTGGATATCTGCATATGATGATGTCCTTTATGGAGTAGGTTGACACAAGATTATGTAAGCACAGTGGTCCCAGTACATTTAACACTACTGATTTCAGTCTACCTTTGTGCTGGATTGTTACTAAGAGGGGGGGAAAAATTCAGAGGGAAGCTTGCAAGGGTAACTGTTTCAAAGACACCCAGCACATACTTTTTAGAGTAAGTTTACATGACAGTTCCCATTTATTCCTAAGGCATATATCTTATTTTTGTTATGCCGTGGATTTTTTTTTAAAAAAAGACAAATAACCTTACCTGCTGCATGTGCATGATTTGCTACTCCTCATATTGAAAACTCTAGGTTAAGTTATATGCTCTAGCGAAAGGAGGCTATGAGAAATTATGTGAGTGCCTGTACACACAATTTCAGTTCAGTAATGATTGTGTTTAACTTCTCTGGAAAGTCTAATTTTTAGATGCTTCAAAAACACTGCTGCATACTAATTAGCGAACTATAACTGGACCTATGAGAAACTGAACAAGAAACAAAAAAGTAGTGGCACAATAACCACATCTTTAAACATATTATATACAAAATATTTCCAAAGGTATAGTCTTTAACCTTTCATACAGTACTTCTTTTAAACAACATTATTCAGTAAAATAGTTAATGTGAAAAAACTGCGACACCACATGTGAAGGAACGCATGGCCGTCTCTATTAATGTAATCAACATTATGGACCAGGGAAAATTTCTAACAGGCAGAGCAAACTATTCCAGAGATTCTGACTCTTAACTATACATTGAACAATTTGCCTATGACTTTGCAGACTTAGATACCACAGATATCTTATGGATATTTCAGTAGCAGAATGGCACTTGACTTGCTCTAATTGGGGTGGGGAGGGGGGAAGAGAAAGATACAGTTGAGTAAGAAGTCCATATTTACATGCTGAAATTCTGGTTGCGTCCCCCCAGTCCAGGCACATCCATTCATTGTGCAATCTGTCGATGGGTAAACATAGTGCAGGATTAATCTCAGTGGGATCTGGCCCTTTGGTCTAACCGAAGTCAATTCTGGGTCGATACTGCAGTACCATGGGGTAAGACTAAAACCACAATGGAAAAATAAAACAAATAAAAACAATGACTGTGTATAGACAGAAATATAAATAGTAGTGCAACTGTTAGAAGATATAGCAACAGGTTGGTAACGTAAACTCATGTTAAAGGCAGGGCTATTTTTGGGCAGGAACGCACTGGAACGGAGTTCTGGCTGGCTCCTGAGTTGGCCACGCCCAGCAGAAACTCATTAGCGTAATAGGCCACACCCAACAGAAACTCATTAGGATTGGCTACATAAGGGTTTGTGTGGCCTAACATGCAAAGAAGTTCCTGCTACAAAAAAGCCCTGAGTTTTGACAACAAGGTAAACAGAATAAGAAGCAAAAGGTGGGTGTGGCTGGATGACCACACTTCTGGTAACATGGGGTGTGGCCTAATATGCTAATGAGCTGTGCTGTCAGGATGTGGCCTAATATGCTAATGTGTTTCTGCTGTTGGGTGTGGCCTATTATGCTAATGAGTT